CGAACTTCGTTGACACTTGACAGGAAGCTACGCACGAGCAAACAAATTTTACCACCGTTTCCTCCATTTTAACCTATCATTCGACGAAAAGACTTTGATTCGTGTTACTCGATAAATTCGTCTTATCGCGCGATAAACTTAATTTCCTTCGATCGATCAATTCGATTTCTCTCGTCGTCGAACTCGATATAAAGACGTCTCATGGGGGAGTTACGAATTTATTACGGAATAAGTTCATAACACTACAACGCGAAATCTAATAATATCATTAGGTCGACCCTCTAACTTACTTTGAAATCAAATCTGGCAAACTTTCAATTGTGACACTGCCATACTAACAGTATAACCTAACATTACTTAAGACAATAACGAAATTTCATTTAAGTCAATTCAATTCACAGCTGTCGATTTATCCATCAATCAATCGATCGATATATGGATTTCGTTATTGCGAATGGTACGGTTAATTTTGGTCATACGAAAACGTAATCTGGAGAACAGATAGTATCTCGACGTACTTCAGATATGCTAATCGAAGGAATATCGTTCTTTTTCACTTATTTTATTATCCCTTCTATGAATTGCACCACTGCCGAAACAAATGACATTTCAATGTGACCTGACCGGTAAACACGCGCGCGAAATGTGGAATATCAAATTCAAGGCTATCTTTCTTTCGTATTTCCTATGCAAAGGTATAGAATAAATCGCGTGAATAAAATTCTTTGTTCGAGGATATCTCTATCGATGGTACATTCAATTTCGAACTTCGTTCGAGCCAACAAAAATTTATCTCGCTTTTGCAAAGATACGTTGTATGAAAGATTGGCAAAAAACATTATGTAAGATTGTTTAAAGAATAGTGTTTCTATACCGAGCCGTCGTGCAAGAATCGAGTGCGCAACTCGGCGAATGTCAGAACACGTGTTTCCGAATGATATTGGGAAAACGCGATGCACGAACGATTCGTGAAGTTGTTCCTTTTTTTTTTTAGAGGAAACAAACGTACCTTTGTCTAGTTTATCGCTGAACCAGATGGAAGAGCAAGGAAAAATTAACACGTACTGAACCCACTTGCACCCCGTTTACCCACTATTGACATCGAAACAAATCTATCGCGTAATCTCGCGGAGAAAACACGCGATACGAATAGTAACCAACGGAATAGTACGAACGTTACACACGTAGATACTGTCGATGACGAAATTAATCGGTTCGTTGCAGAGAAACGAAAACGTGATCACCGTCCCGCGTTGCGTATGTGACTGACCGAGAGTATCCAAGTGAACCTCTACCGCCGCTCAGACGCTCATTTGTGCTCTCTCTCTCTCTCTCTCTCTCTCTCTCTCTCTCTCTCTCTCTCTCTCTCTCTTCTTTCCCTCCCGCCCTCCATCGCACTCACACACTCTCCTCTCTCTTGCTCTCGCTCTGCGCCCCATCTTCTCTTTCTTCCTTCAACGCTCGTACTTTCGTATTCGTCCCCAGTCCTTCTTTTCCCTCTCTTTCCCGCATTTGCCAAATCTCTTCTCGATAGAAATATAGATATCCCCATCATGTGTCTACAACGTTTCGGGCAAAAGCAGCTACTCCGAGTTTTGCGTCAATCGCGTTAATAGATGTGCATGCGTCGATCGCAGAGGGAAGGTAAAATGTTGAGAAAATAGCGAGTATGCTAAAAAGAAAAAAATGAAACATTTTCTGGACAAACTTTCTTTTTTTAATCTTTCCACTTACACTCAAACTCGATCTAGACTCACGGACAACCCGGTATGAACTGGTTTGCATCAACGTGTATGTGTGCATCGTGGAGACTAGCCAGGCGGCGAGTTTGCGCGAAGATCAGCGAAAACAACCGAAGACAAACCACGTGCCCGCGATGCGAATCATTCACTAATTTTATCTCGACCATAAATGAACAAAATTTTCGTTTTCGTTTTCGTGCCTACAGGTTTATTTATTTGTTTCGTTACGATGTGTCGTAAGAGAATTGTTTTACCCATATTATTCATACATAATTCATATACAATTTGGTAATTTATGAATATGTATCATGCACGCGGTAGAATATTTTTCCATTTACATACGGTAATTGCGAATACGTAATCTATCAGATTTTTTTGCTTACGACATGTCACAAATTTTTTTGTACGACAAATTAATCTGATTTGCCGAACAGAGAGGAGGTATGTAAGCGAGACTAATCAAAAACACTTTCGATATCAGTTTCGCGCTTTTTTTTCTTCCATTTTTCTTCTCAACGAAAAGATAATTTTTTAACAGCTTGTACTCCGCCCATACGTTGTTCTTTGAAAATAAATTTAAACGTACGAGTGCTACCGAATCGATACGAAAGGAACCGAAGATACCACGTGTCGTTTTAACGCGTTACAACGGCGTACATTTTCAACTCGAGTGCCCTAGCTTTAAACGCGACAGAATAATTGATGCTGGATAAAGACACTCGCGATTAACCTTGGATTTTTGCAATGATTTTCAAATCGATATTCGAATTCGCGTTAGTATCGAAGTTAAGTATATAAAAACATATCAAATGTCCCAACGAAGAAGTGTTTTTCAGTAATTCAATTCGACGACAATGACGATCGATTTTTTCTCGTTAAAGAAACGTACGATTTGAAGAATCGATTCGTTTGCTCGCAGTGTTATCTTTAAATTGACGATAAAGCAAGTGCTGAGAAAAATGAAAGACGATACGTACGAAGGTGTCGTAATATTACACACGCGTATAAAATGGCAATAAGCGAGTAAATATTTATAAAAATATTTATATCTACGAATATCGGGCCCCTAACGAAAAGAATGGTTGCTCGTTTTTCGAGTGACTGCGAAAAGTATTATATACATACCGTTCGAAGTGACCTCAGATTCTTTTTTGGAGCGTCCTTAACCTCGACACTATTTCGACGAAGAAAAACCTTGCAGAAATCGAAGCACGATAAACGGAATACACATCAACTTTGAGACACTTGCATTTCCGATTGGTAAAAACTTTTGTTCCACGAGATTCGCACTATGTAATTTTAGATCGTAAACATGTCGCGAGGAAAAGTCGCGTGCACGCTAAATATCACTCTATTCCGATACACGTGACTTCTCGCCTGCGAGAGTGTTGAATATCTCTTGTTAGCAAGCAAATGTCGTTAGAGGTTAGGTATCACTTTTATTCAGTTCACAACTATATTTTTCCCATCCGAATTGAACCAACTGGACGATCGATGGGGAGAGAACAAGAGAGTACGAAAGAAAGCACGAACGATAATCACGTCGCGTTTGATGAAGAAAAAATTCGATGAAGAGGGAACCGAGGTAATGGCAGAACAGTGCATACACACTGCAACAGTCCGTGTACGGCACTAGCAGCGAGAGAGCGTGACCTTCGAGTACACGAACGCTCCGGCGTCCAATTGCTTACTGACGCACCGGCATCAATCGGAAGGACTTTTATATGTACCCCTCTTTTCAATTTATTTTGGCGGTAATTACGTATCTGCCGGTGACCTGTTGCAATGATCCTTTCTCTACTTACTATACCCGACGTCGCTCGTTTTGTACAATTTCGAATCTGTCGCGAATATTTTGAGGAATAATTTTGGTCATTATTACGCAATCGCGTATATCGTTAATGCCAATGCCGGTTAATATGAGAAACAAAACGGTATTAAAGATTATTTCATTTATACGTAGAATTTTTAATTTTTAATCTTAAATTTTCAAGTTTAATTTAATATAGAATTATAACATACAAATATGCATACATAAATAAATAAATACATTTTACATGTAGCCCAATTTCATTCCTATTTCATTCCTATATCGCCGTTCTCCTAATGAATAACGACAAATGGAAAACATTCGAGAATGATAATTTCGATTAACGGCAGTTCTACTAATTGTCATTGTTCAATTGACCTGACCGTACAGACCGAAAATAACGAATTGAAACACAAAGAGTCTAAACGGCAAATTTTCAACGCGAAACCACGTGACTCGGTTTGCGTTCGGCTGATTATTATAATGCAATGCGATTACGAGCATGTCACATGATCTGGATTCGCGTGCATCGCGTGACCAATCCTTGCGTCGATGCATCTGCTGCTTCCACTTCTTCGCATCTAATTTCGTCTGTCACCGTGAATTTAACGATTAATCGCGAAGAAATCGTTTGACAGATTCACCGCTATTGTTTGTCAGATGTTAGATATGGCACGAGTGACGGGCACGAGTGCAGCCGAAATTAAAGAGATAATCGCGGTAGTTGCGACGAACCCCGATATGGCAGTCGTTGCACGATTGTACGTCAAGCGTGATTCAAAGCTACGATACGTTCGTTCGTATTTACTTTTTCTCCGCAAAGTCATCGGGTATACACGTGTTTGAATTTATCGTTGATGTTTGTAGCAATGTTCTTAGCCGAAGAGAAGAAATTTTTCCACGATTAAACGATTCGATCAATTCGCCGGGTCAACGGCAGAACGGAGGATTACTCGAGTCCCCAAGTACGTTGACACAATGTCCAGAGTTCCTTACGCGTGTATGTGGCCGCGACTAACATGTACACGCGTTCGCATACGTAATATTAAAGTGTGATTTATTAGTCCCGACTGCTTCATTTAAATTGCCGTAATAGGCACTTACGTGCATTGAACCTTGGACCAGAAGATAAAGAAAACTATTCTCGTTAATTTGCGCTTAAGCGTCTCATTGGACGAAATGTATAGAAAAACATTGGGTCGAACGAAACGATATGGAAAGGAGAGAAAAAATGAGACGCAAATCTTTGAATACTCGGATTATATAAATCTCGATAGAAAAAATGAGCGCGGAAGATTAGCTCGGTCGGTAAAAACTTTGTCCTGTCCATACCGGTGGTTCCGAGTTCGGTCGATAAGGAAAGCAAAAAAGGAACTGTCACGTGGAATCAGTGAAACGGATGACTAACGAATTGATACGCGTACCGATTAGCGACTTCGCAAACTTACCGGGTTCCATCGAGTTGATATCGGTCAATTTTATCACCGATTGATCCACGATGACGACGCAGTTGGTAGCCTTGATGGGTGCGCTGCCCGCTGCAACTCAGGCAACGGCGAGCTCCTTGCCAAACAACCAGCATCACTAGACAATCAAACGAATGACCCTCAACTTTTTTTATCTCCGTATTTCAATTAACTTTACGCTACATGTACGATATACACACACTTGTAATATACGAGAAGATAAACGATGGAAATCAACTGATTGTGTTACGAAATAGGAATACCGTATTGTTCCTTTTATTTTTTTCTCTTTTTTACAACTTTTTCAATTTCGCTTTTAAATTATGCAGCGATATGCTAGATGAAATAGGTATATACGGTGGATATCTTCGGGAAACATATTTCGGATTCTTGATCGAATTTTGAAATTTCTTTTTACGTATACGATCCTACGTCAACGAACTGTGTGTTACGAGGTAAACCGATTGTTCGATGAAAATAACGAAAATATCGAACGAATTTGAAATTGTATTTAGAATTTTATCCACTCTCATATGGTTTGCTCGTTTCTTCTCTAACCTCCTAACCATACGTTGAAATCGATCGTCATCGCATGACGTTTCATCGATTTTTCTTCTCAAGTTCATACGCGTTCGAGTAATTCAAGGAATGTTTTGCTTATAAACATCTCGTTTTATTTACGTACAAATTCGTATGGTCACAATCGTACATATTACTGCAGACGTTATAACGCAACAATTTTGTTTTTACACTACCGATAAGAAATTTACGAAACATTGCGTGACGCGGGTATAGCAGTTTCCATTATTTATCTATATCGTCTTAAAATCACGGTAACGCTATATAATACGCAAGTAGAATAACGTTAACGACGATAAAGGAGAACAAAGCTACCTATGAATGATATGACCTGTATCAAGGATGGAATGTAGCATACGCTTCGCATTGTGAGATTTCGCGTTGAAATATTGAAATTGAACGAGTCAATGATTTTCATTTTTGAGCATTTTACAACTTCTGGCACTGAGTTAAGAAATTACATTGAACCCAATTATTAAAGCCGATCAGGTCAACAGACGTAAACGCCATCTTTTCCTTACATTTTTAAAGGGAATATACATGAATATTGCACCGGGTGCAAGTATTAATCTGTTTTTTTCTATTATTTTACAATTAGAGCAATCGATACTATAAGGCAGTTCTCATAATCTTGGTGTAATCTTATACTAACCGGTAAAGCTGTTAAAATCATATAGTTAATAAAGTCTATATTTACAAATTATTCGTATATCGTGAAACATAGAACGTCAAGCTTGTGATAAAATTCCTAAATTTATGTACTATTGCATATTACAATGATATCAATGATATTAAATGGTAAAATGAAATTAAATTATCGAATGACTTAATGAAAGAAATTTAACGGAAAAATTCTTTCTAGCAACGGTAATAATTGGATATTTCCGCTCGATCTTTCGCAGTTTAACGACCGTTGTTCATATAAGGATCGCGAAATGATATCAAAGATTCATTCACCCTTCTGACACTCTACGAGGCAGAACGAGAATTTAATCGAGATAGCTTTACGATGTAAACGAGACGGACTAACAATAAGACTAGATCGGATTTTCAAGTATCTATGTCTCTATCCACTTTATTCGTCTTGTACCATTTTATATAATTTAAAATTATTTACCTTTATATTACGCTTCAAACGTGAAATTAAAATTCTAATGATTTATACCTATGATATAATTGTTATCGAATATTGTTATGACATAACTAAATTATCGAGCTACTGATGTTACGTTTCGATGAAATTTATGGGGAACCATGAGTATAAGACTTTAGCTTTAATTTTCTATTTAACTAAAACTAAACTAAAATATTTAATAAGTAAGATAATAGACATAAAGGAATAGTCATGTAGATAATTCCTGGTTTAGTAATTGATACCGTTTTTAAAACTTGTACTTTGCAAATAATGAGGAAGAGATCTCTACAGTCTCGGGGAAAAAATTTCATTCGGTTATTGGTCTAATGCACCTTGTCTATGATAGTATGTACCAACGGTTTTATTTAATTCAGGTATGTAATCTGTATAAAACGGTATTTGCTTATATCTTTACGTTATTATCTAATAATAATTTCACGCAATACAGTTTGAGAGTTTAATTTTAAACATGCCAAAGAGAAGACGAACCCTCGTGACGAATCTATTTTGAGTTCAAAGTAATACATACATGAAAGTATTGCTGCAGAGGCGGAAATCTCTGTGTAGATATTTGTTAATGGCAGCGTTTGCTTTTCGAAAACATGATTTCATCAACGATATCTAAATAAGATGTTATACGAGATAAAGAGCAATATTTAAATCTGCTCACTTTAAAACATTCAAAGTCTTATCGAATTCGAGATAAATGATTAAAAACTCGCTTGTTTGGAATAATAAATGCGTCGAAAGTCAAAGTATGAAGTTTTCTGTATACGTATAATATAAAATATATGTTAGAATCTGACAACATTTCTTTATACGTAAATGTTTAAAAATGTTCTACATGTTTTAAATATTTCACTTACCTTGAGTACGTCAAATACACGCGATAGCGTCTTGAATATTCCACGCGGTTCGAAAAGAAACAAATCCAAGTCTCAGTCGGTATTATCGCATATCACAATTTCCTTTTTACTATTGATTCACTGCTTCACGATCGTTCTACGACTTGTGCGCTATATGTAAGTTCTATATTAGCGTATAATACGCAGACGTTACGTATCGGAAATATCATAAATTCTGGAAGAAAATTTTTCGAAAAAGAAACGCATGAATTTGACACTTATTAGAACACGGACATTGAACACGATGAAAATTGTCAGAAAGTGCACTCGTACGTACTATTAATGAATGGCACAGCGGATGGACGGTCGATAACGTTCTCGCGAGGATACATCAGGTTAACGTAGAATTTGACAAAATGACCAGCGCCAATCGAAGTACCATCGAATACTACTGAGTAAAGACAACTGCACGCATGCGCTTGCAATTCCTTGCATTCTGTGTTTAGCGGGAAGTATGAAACATTTACTCAATAATAAAAGCCGTACATTGCAACTATAAATGTTACAATGAACATGTAATATAGAAATTACAAAACGAAAAATATGTATAATGCTGTGAAAGATATATTACGTAACTAATGTCACTTTGCAATTAATGGGTACATAAAGAAATGATTAAATAAAAAATTGTGTAATTGGTGTATGTTAATGAAACTGATAATAAACGAAGGCAATTAGATAGCAACAATGTACGTGTATGTGCGATGTTTGTATTCCTTTACATATGTGTATGATCAGTTACAACGTATTAAGAGATATACAAAAGTGATTATACGTTTTATCAAAATGGAAATAAATCACGCTATAAAAAATGTTGATTTAAATGTATGAAACTCGTTTGCTGAAATAAATTATTAAATATTATGATACATCAGAGTGAATATAATTTGGTATAAACCGAAGGTAGAGGTAAGTACGAGACATGAAAATAACGAAAAGCACATAATCAAAATGAAACATTCTAAATAAATGTATACAGAACAAAACATTAGTTACCCCATCCTTTTCGTTGTCATGCAGCTATTGTACCGTACAAAATTTGTTACAATTATTAAATAGCTAATTGAAAAAGATTTAATATGCTACAGCCTCTTTACACTTATATAGATCGACAATGTTGTTTCGTGATTTGTTAATGAATGAAGTTTTGAAATAAAATCGTACGTTTAGGAAAAGCTTCAGCAAGTATTCGCTAAAACATAAATAATATCTTACTGAAGTAGTCAAGTATCAAAACATACAATATATGTGTATATATATTTACATATAACATGCATACATACATACATATATGTACATATATGTATGTATGTATATATGTATGTATATACCGTCTTAAAATTAAATACTGCGATAATAAATATAAATATTTCGATAAAAAAAACGATCGTAATTTTAAAAACTAGATTCTTAAGATAGATATACTACCTTAGTGATTTTAACATATTTACATAGCAATGTACACCTATTACATAGTTTTTGTACACAAATGGAGAGAATGATGTGATGTATAGCTCGTTACGTTCATGATCTTTTTTGCTATTTGTTAACCTAGTGCATCATTTTATGAAGTTTCAAAATTTTCCCTAAGCGTTGCTTAGCCGTTTTCATTCCTTTCTTTGGTTTTCGTTCTGAAAAACAAGCGATAATCATATTTTGAACACTGATCGAAAAGCAACAATTATTTTGACAAAATGCAAAAAACAGTACAGAAGGGCACACTGAAATAAAGAGGTACATTACCAACTGGAACCGGAGCTGCTAGCTTCGCTTTGACATCTTTAAGCCTATTAGGACTAGTTAATATCGAACCGAATCCTATGCTTGTTTTTATTGTATTCTCCGAGGATGTGGTCGACGTACCAGTTGCCGAAGATACGGATGAGTTCTTTTGCTTCTTTTTATTGTATGTCCGCTTAGTTGTGCTCTATCATATTATACGAAACAAGAATAAATTATTTTTGTTCTAATTACTATTACCAATGGAATAGAGAAGGATATAAAAATCGTAAGAAGTATAATTTCTAAAAAAAAAAAAAAAAAAAAACATTTTCAATAAAATGAACAAATAGTTTCGTACCATAGAGTAGTTATAAATAAAATATACAACGTATTTATTTTGTTGTTATTATGATATTATAATGAAACACAGTGACATTGAATAGTATTCAAAGTACATGCAACACACATTATGAAACGAGAATGAAACCGTAATATGCCTACCAATTTCTTCTTGGAGCCCTTATCCATGTTGTTATCCAGATAATCGTCCTATGCGATATGAGTATGCAAGAAAGAAATAATTATGGAAATGCAAATGAATGTAAACATAGGATCGTACATAGCTTGATAAGTGAGTTAATTTATGTTATCTGATACGAATACGGAACGTATTGAGTTAGAAATTGATTTAATTACTTACTAACTTGAGACGCGATATAATAACAATAGTAACAATAAATAAAATATTAAAATCAAAACAAAAAAAAAAGGAAAAAAAACACATCGTGAAATCACAAAATAAAAAATGCATACATACCGATTGTTTCGCGCGTTTCGCTGCAGCTGCTTCAAGCCCTTTTTCAACGGATGTTTTCCTGGCACCTTCTCGAGCTGGACGATTCGTCTTTGGCAGGAGAGGTCCCACTCTGGCTTTTGGATTCCACGCCTCGTCTATTTGACTTTTCGCTTTAGGTTTAAAGATATAATCTTCATCGTCTGAAGCATCTAGAGCTGGGTAAACTGTATCGAAAATATATATGATGATAATTATTAATGTAACCGGATTCACGTAAAAAATAATATTTTTATGTTTCACATACTAAAGTCATCATCCTGATGAACCTTATCGATGTTTTCTATCGACTGATCATCATCTTCACCAGGCTGCATTTTAGTGATTTTTGCTGATTTCGATGTACTGTTCGATGTAGTCGAGTAACATTGCTCGCTGAAGGATAACATCCCAGCGATCGCTTCCCGAGTTGATGGAGATGCCCTACCAGAACTGGTTGTTTTCAACTTATAAATACTAGGACACCAAAAACGTAAAAAGTAACAGTGCTATTTGCTTTTAGAAAGTATATGTATACATGTACACATACACACGCGCGCGCGCACGCACGCACGCACGCACGCATGCATGCAGGCACAAATATATATATATATATATGTATATGTATATATATATACATATATATACACACATATACACACATATACATACTTTTGCTTCTCTCGACATTAAAGAAAAAGGAAAAGCTAATAAGTGTAACAATAAGATAACACTCAACATGCCTGTTCAAATCAATTTCTCAAGCATGCTAACGTTTAATATTATCTTACCCAGTGGGTGGTGGCATAGGTTGACTGTATTGTGGTATTATTGAAGTCCTATAACCAGAAAATATTGTAAGTAAATGATAAAATTGGTTTGACTCGTTCAAAGATTAATACTAACGTTACATCCAATCTTTGAGCACCATTCCCCAAAGTATAAACCGAGGCTTTCAATAATTCTTCGATACCATTTTTTGGTACATCGTTCAAGACGTCAACATCTCCATCGTGATCTCGTTTCGACCGCTTTTGCATGTTAGTTCTGGGTGCTCTCTTTCGTTTTGGAGATTCATCGATAGTGAACCGACCGTAATCGCTTTCATTGCTACCGTCGTGAAAATCGTATATAGAAGTTTGTTTCCAAGTTAATTCTTTCGATGCTCCAAGGGGGTGATCGGTGGTTAAGTTATTATATGTATTTATGTCATCGTGTGTACTCCTTACAACCTCGTTATTGCCTAATTTAAATCTAATTACGGTCGGACTTTGTTTTCCTGGTTTCGACGATCGTTTGTTACTAATCTGAGAAGGATTTTTTTCTTCCAAGGTCGGATTCTGAGTTTTGACATAGGGATACATAATAGGTTTTGGTAATGTCAGTTTTAACGGTGGCCTGCCTGACGACGGTGATTCCGAAGTGGTTGAATCCATTTTGTTCGTTTCCTTTAACGTTGCTTTAAACGGGTTATTGGCCATTCTATCGGCAACGTCGTAATCTACAAAATCCTTATTCAGCGGTTTCTTTTTCTTGCGTTTACTCTCTCGTTCTGGTTTCGGAGGATTTAAAGATATTAAGTACCGTTCCGCGTGTCGGATTTCCTTACTGAAATCTTTTAACAATTTTTGACTATTTATGGTTTCCGGTATTTGACCCCTACTGATCATATTGTACTGAAAAATATAATATAAATCCTAGATTACCCGTGAAATATAATCTATGATGGAGTGATCTTCATCACGGATAAAATAAACATACATCTTTGTCTGTGTTCCATTGTTTCAGAATACTGAGTAATGCTTTGACACCCTGTAAAAGGTATGCTGGACATTTTTTTCCTTCGTTATTTAGTTCTTTCAATTCTTTCAACAATTTTTTTGCTGCAAACCAATTGATTGTCTCAAAACCAGGATATTGAAATTTGGTGGGTGTTTTCATTTTTTTTTCTAATTCATATATTCTATAAAGCACGGAAATTAAATGAGTATAGCTGAAATGTTACTATCAATTGTATTTATGAAGAATTTTTACTATCAATCATATGTATGTACTCACTGTATTTGCATTGGAATGTTAAGACTATGTACAAAGTTTCCACCAAAAACCAAAGAATCGACTGGAGTTAATACAGCGTGTATCCAACCTGTTGGAATCATCATAGTTTGCCCTTGTTTTATAACGCATTTGTAACATGCGTCGGCTTGGTCGCCAAAAAAAGTTTCGCTTTGCGTTGAACTACACATCCACTGTTGATACAGTTGTAAATTTGCAGCAGTAGGCCTGATTAGATAAAACACTTTCTCTCCGCGCAGCACATGATACCATACAGATGTGCCACCAAAATCAATGTGAAAATCTGTGAAACTGTCTTTGACCCCCATTAGGCAATATTTTTGCACTTCAGGGCGTTTTATGTCACTATCCTCGGGCCAATCGCGCGGCCAAACAGAATTAACCCAGTCAAGTTTACGCGCGATGTATGGTGCTTCGACCATTGGTGAAAGACTGCAACGTTTATTTGTTAATTTATATATTATAAATGTATATATATATACTTCCTAGAAACATTTAAAGCCAATATGTGGCAAGGCAATTAATATTGGTATACCCAGTGTTTGTAAATTCAAGACTAATCACATTAAGAACCCTTGTCCTGCAAGGGGAATTGTAATATTCAACAAAGTCTCTTAATTTCATTCTGATATTACTTTGTCTCGTAACGTCGATTACATCCATGTCTCGATCTCCACCTGAGAAATAAGAAACAATTATGTCTGTCTGATATAAATTTTTAATAATACAACTGTAACAACATGAATGTTAACATATACAAACAAATAATACCTATGTAACTTTCTACGTCATAGACACTGAAATTTGGAGGTGGAACAGTCATGTCAAGTCCATCCTTTCCATCAACTATAATTGGACTTTCAAATCCATTAACTTGTAATTGTTGAAGTGTTAATTGTTGTCCTCTAACATGTTTAACAACTTCATCGGCTTTTGGGAAATGTCTAGATTTTAACTCTCTTATAAATACTGGTGTGCCAGTTTGAACAGGTTTTGTATCAGCTTCGGATTCAGAATAATCATGTCTATGCCAATTTAATCTTACTTTCACTGCGGTATAATTATCATTTAAACAATAAGAAATTTAATGGTTGTTAATGTATCTAGAGAAAGAAAAATATAATTTTTATGTACTCACTAAGCGATGGTCCACACATTGCTTCGCAACGTGGACAATGGTATTTATCAAGATCTATGGACATATACTCTTTTACAGACACACATCTGTAAGGAGAAAAAAATAGAAGAAACATCTTATGTATTATTTGTGATATGTTCAGCTATATGTGCAAGATATTCGGAACATTTACAATTTAGCCTTACGATTTGCTATAATATCAAAAGGTAAGGCATCGTTAAAATAGGTTATGTAAGTATCAACAAAACCTCTTTCTTTTTCTGTAAAACATGTTTTGCAACCAATATTATCACGTGAAAGATTACAAAAGGATAATCATGAGAGATTAGTTAAATTATTTAGTGATTTATCGCGAAATAAAAACAAAAATGTGTTTATGTTGTACTTGGGAAAGCATAATCTTGTCACAGTGTTTGGATCATTGTTGTTAATTGTCAAAGTTTCAAACATTTACCCTCCATGATACCACTCCTTACAAACGTCACATTGTATCATAAATTGTTCGAAATCGTAAGAACGGCCACATAAACAGTAAGTAACTGGTAACTCCATTTTCCGTGGATATTAACGCTAAATACACCTTCGCGACTCGTATCGTTAACATTGGTTGGTAACTATAGTAGCCGTGATGCGTCGCTGAAGAGCCGCTCCGTCATCCTTTTTCGGAAGTATATTAAACAAGCGTTTTCATTTATCCCCATGGAAGTTAAATGTAAATCAACCCTAATCGAAAAGTGATTGTACACGCAGTAGCGCGCGCACCGGGCACATAACATGTAGTATCTGCTCTGATCTTATGTTTAAAGGCTGAATTGTATCTTGTTTTTAGTGTTAGTTTACAGTAAATTTGAGATTAATTTGGGAAAATATGTCCTTTGAAGATGAAAACCTCGTTTCATATTTGAATGATAAAAACCATAAAAATGAAAGCAACAGAAGGGGAAAAGTTGAAAAAAAGATCTTGAAAGTTGGTACAAAACATACCAAAGCGTGAGTAGCATCGAACGATTAAAATCTTCTTAATATTTTTATTCCGTACGACTTGAATGTTGTTAGGATTATATCCAAATACATTTGATGCAAGAATTATAATTTAAAAATTAGGAACATACCACAATATAAAGTACGAAACAAACTTGTCTTGGGAACAAGAAAATCCTTTTTAAAATATTCGGTTATGAATCCTTTGTACATGAGAAATAAAAAAGTTCAAAACAACACAATAGCTGGAAATTTGTTATGTAAGGAACAGTTATCGCCACAGTATAATTCAGAACGAAGGAGAAAAAAATATGCTAATGCCGAAGGAGTACAACGTAAGGAATTTATATACTCTATAATAAACTATTTGAAACTGCATTTGTCCATATTTGTGTATCAAAATAAATATTATGTGTATTATATATGTATAAATATGTTATATATATTATATATTATATATTTATTACACATATATTATATATGTGTAAATAAATATATTGTCTATTAAAATAAATATTAATGCTTATTTAAGTAAAAAATGGGCTAATATGGAAAAGGATTGCATAAATTTCAGATTCTATGGATCTTCCTTTAGATTCGAACAATGATTCTGTAGAAGTGCAATCAAGTGGAGATAAAAGTAACAAGCAACAATGCAACATTTCAGACCAAAGAAACATAGGATTACCTGTAGTAATAGAAGTGCTATCAGAAAATTTTTCCACGTTAAGTATACCAAAAATACTTGAAGAAAGCGATCAGGTGAAACCAGAAAATGACGTTCTCAATGACAGTCAATTACATATACAGAATATGAAATCTGAAGCACATGAATCCTTTGTTTTTGTTGCTGAATCGTTAAATCCAAATGATAATTCGTACGATGATGGAAGTAATGCTAAGACTATGTCACTGTCCCAAAGAAAACAAAGAGAAGATAACAAACAATCACAATATAGTAATTCCAGGGTTCCTATTTGTCGAAAAAAAGGGTTTGTAGATCCTGTTAAGAAAACTAAACGATCTTCTGACGTATACAAAGAAAGCACAAAAAATAATATCATCTACTCTGTAACGGAAAAGGGTAATACGAACAAAACGGAAGCTTTACAGAAAAACGATATAACTACTGATCAATATCCGATACGATTTTATTGTGTTAGGAACAAAGTTGTTGCCGTTATGTCAAAGAATGCACGGTTTTGTTTTACCGGCAAATTAATTGTAAAAGTTATATATGGTGCGATAGAAGCTTATGGATATGTTATTACTGCGAAGACCGATTCAATTGAGATCTATTCACCAAGAGGATATAGCAACGTTTCGATCCAAGCGAGTGAAAAATGTGTGTATAACGACGAAACGGACATATGGGTATCGCTTTCTGCCGAAGGTATTGATCGAAGTAAGGAGAACAAATTGGTTGCCGAGATCGAACGAATTCAACCTGGCATGACAGTCATTTTTTTATCCAATTTGGAAAACAAATTGACTAGGTTCTTACAGGTTTTTTATCCATTTAGGCTATTTCCAAGAATAAAGAATACATCGTGTTATTCTTGGACCGATCCAAAGAGGGCCGAAACGATATTGCAATCAAATCTTTCTATTAATTTTGCGTTCAAGGAATTAATAATTGACCCACGTATCACGCAAGAAGTTGTCGAGAAAATATTAAATCGTTGGCGTTCGAACGAATGGTCGTGTACCTTAATTGCTGGTGGAAAAGGTGTCGGTAAATCTACTACAGTGCGTTACTTGATAAACAGTCTACTGCCAGTTTCCAAAAAGGTGGTTCTCATAGATGTTGATCCAGGACAAACGGAATGTACACCAGCCGAATGTATATCGTATACTTTAATTGAAGAACCATTAATAGGACCAAATTTTACGCATTTAAAGACTCCAGTTTTCCAAATATATATCGGAGATGTAAACGTGACACGGTGCATTACACGATATATCGAGGGTATTAAAATGTTGGTTGATAAATTGTCAAATTGCCCGATCATGTCACGTCTTCCAATTGTCGTAAATACGATGGGTTTTTCACAAGGAATCGGCTGGGATATCATCTTGTTTACAATCAAATTGATTCGACCTTCTTTCGTGGTACAAATTATGTCCGGGAATCCGAAGATAAACTATATCGGATATTTAAGCAAACAAATGATAAATAAGCAGGTTATTGTCACTATTTCATCGTTCTGTATATCCCAATAACTTTGTAAATGGTAGATACGATTGAAGAAATGTATTCCTTACAGAAATTATCGTGGACGGCATGTAGCATGAATGTTATCGACTGGAATCAATCATGTGATCACGAACTATTCGTGGTACGTTCGCGTGCGGAGAACAACGGTACTCCAGGATACGAAACTTGGAACATGGAACCATATCAACAACGAGAGCTTGTAATGATTTCTTATCTCAGTGAAATTGTTCAAAATTCTGTGAACTCAGCGTAAGACTTGTGATATAAATGTTATTTGATATCCGCTTTAACATATTTGCGATTGTTGGAACACATTTTAATGCTACAAACACAATTTTCTTCAGGTCACGTTACGATGCTTTGTCGTTAAGTATCAACGAAGCTGTACCATACGTGTTAGTATCTTTTTTTTTTTTTCATACTGTGGTATCGCGGGATGAGAGTGTTATCTAGAGTGCGTGCGAAAGGATGAATGATCGTGCGCTAGGATCGTGTGAACGGGATGTTTATGAATGTATCGAGTGGCTTTAGGAATGCGTTCGAGTGTTTGGGCTGAGTGACCCGCTGAGGGTAAGATTGCGAGGAGTGCGTGGGAAAGTGTGATTGGGAAAAAGAGAATAGGTATGAAAGAGGATAGAATGGATGGTTTTAAATAGGGATGCAAGGGCGTGAGTGGACACAGTCAGGGTCAGAGAGACAGTCAGTGACAAAGAGAGAGGGTGTGGAGTCGGTCGCGGTACGTGTAGTATAGGAGAGTTCAGAGAGAGAGTTGTGAAGAAAGGTATTAGCGTTGCGAATATAAACGTGTTGTTAGGATTAATAAATAGTAGTTTTAGTATTATTCGTATTCGTGTTGTTGTCCCCTCCCATCTCTACAATACGCATCCAGTTAAACGTATGATTATTCTTATTGAGCTGCTTTAATACACCGGGATTTTCTTTCTTACAGGACATCTTTCATGACATTATACATTTCCATACCACAAACATCGGTGCCTGCATCTCACGTATTGAACGTAGTGAATGGTAACATAGTAGCTTTGTGTGGAATCGACGTGAGCAACAACGAATCGCAAGAAGGTGAAAATACGCATGGTCCCCGTGTATTAAACAGATTACCACTTTGCGCTTGTTATGGTTTTGGTGAGCATATCAACGTAGGCATTCATCCTTCCGTGTCCACGCGATAATTCATGGTTAACGTTCAACATCGTTTCGCCTGTAGGTATTATTAGAGGAGTTGACATGGATCGGAAAGAGATATTCATAAACACCCCATTACCAGTTTCTTTGATGAGATACGTAAACTGTTTGGTGGGATGCATACCAGTGCCTGTTACGTTATTACAAATTAATCAAGAAAGGAACGTACCTTACATCGGTGGGAATGATGTTTTACCGATGAGCCGAATGCCACGCAGGGGATACTTCCGCATGAGATATGAGTGACCTGTGAATTTTCTTTATGTGTCTCTGACATTTGTTTCTATTTTTTTAAAACGAACGTGTATAGTATTGTAGAGATGGGAGGGGACAACAACACAAATACTACTAAGACTACTATTTAATCCTAACAACACGTTTATATTCGCAACACTAATACACCTTTTTTCACAACTCTCTCTCTCTCTCTCTCTCTCTGTGCCCTCTTATACTACACGTACCGCGACCGACTCCACAGTATTGTCTTTTTTTCCTTATTTTTGCTATAATTATGAAAGAAAACAAGAATGTATAAAATGAGCGACATTTTTGAGGTTTGTTTAAAGTATACATAATACGAAAAAAAAAAACAAAGTACGATAGGAGAAAAAAAAGAAAGAAGTAACAAATACAATAGAATTTTAATGGATAAAATAAGAACAATAGAAAATATTGTAAAGAACGTGTTTTATTTTTCAGTTGTAATAAAATTAAAAATAAATGATCAAATCAGGCAAAATATCTAAAACACGTATATCTGTTTTGCTTATATCATCCTGCTTTTCGACTAGATGAAGCGTGATCTGGTTGCATTTAACGATCAGTTTCTCCTGAATTCACTAATTTTCAGTATTATTCAGTGTGTAACGATTTTAGTTTATTTCGTTCGTATTGCACTCGAAGAAGGGGCAGAGAGATCTTAAAATGGCAGATAGAGTTTGGACGCTCCAAGATTTGCCTATTAATCTCTGGCGTTTTGTCGCTGATAAATTCTTCACGTCCGTATAGTGACGCGGGAATCCAAATATCTCTTCAAGTTCGGTTATCCACAACGAGTCACTTTCGTCTTTCATCAGAATTGGTTTCAAAGCTAACTTGCCTAGAAATGTCAAAGAAAATGATCTATAAAACTGTCCAATGAATTTTAACTTTTTCTCTATTTTGTAATATCCATTAGGTGATTCTTGTAGAGTTTACTTTTCTGAACACGAATCCGTAATCGAAATTGCTCTATCATCCTTAGTTTCCGAAAATTGTGAGCTTTTCTAAAAATGTACAATTTTCAGCTAAAATGAAGTATTATAGAAAAATTAAAAACGTTATGAAATTTATTGTTGTGCTAAAAAGTAGATGAGGGTATTCCGAGTTTACCAATCTGCATAATTATAATTATTTGTGCTTTTGAATAACTAAAATTGATCATAAAGGTTTGAAAATAAGCCTTTGAGTATACTTTGTACGCATGTTCTGAAATTTTTACAAAAAGTTCTTTATCTGACACGAATTTGTTTCAGAACAACGTATTTTGTAGGTTCTTTCGAAGAAGAAACCATTCAAAAACAGTATTAGGATGATTTTGGATTGTTGATATGCCGGTAAAATATATATCGGCAACCCGTAAGCGGGATTTCACCGCCACGTAACCATTGTTCCCACAGTTTGCTTCATCAGGGCCGTAGTTATGCGTAATCAACACCAAAATCATCGTCTAGTAGATCTCACTTTTTTACATATATAATATGTATATATTTTCATGTACTTTTTTATACTAATCGCAACTTTGCAAGAAATTTCTTTAAATCACTTATAATTTGAAACAGTTCCGTTCTTCCATATAATAAATACGAATGACGTTTTAATATAAAGTTGTTGAAAAATAAACTACCAAATAATTTTTAAGATGAGAATGAATTCTTTAAACATTATTACTTTTAGTGCAAGGCTTCGTTTTAGGTAAAAATACAGAGAAAATAAAAATATTTTGACATACATATATATAACATGAAAATTTTATACTATGAAAATGCGAATGTAGTTATAGTTTATAACACATGTTTATAAATTATCAAATTTATTGTTAATAACAAATTGTTCGCAATGTACATTTATTATAAAAGAGAAGAAATTAATAAATTATTGATTATTAACGCGGAAAAGTAATAATTAATGGAATCATGAAAGTACGAAAATTTTTAATCGGGGTGGGGAGCTCGATCGATCGGCGGCTATATAAGGACGGCCGCTCAACTGTTCAGGCCATTTGTCGGTTCGACTTCGGAAGTGACACATCTAAATTTCTAAGTGCGCGGAAGGGGTGGGGGGTCCAAAATGTGGTTGAGACTAGCCACCCCAACCACACCCCATCCCATTAAACAATTTACTAATAATTTCTTTTATTTTCAGCTGTTAATTATTTTTTTCTTTCGGGTTTTAATTTCTTTTTTCTTTTTTCAGGTATTAATTAATTTTTCGAATTTCAGATGTTATTTTTTCGTTCCTATTTATTTTTACATGAGAATTCGAATATTTCGTAGAATATTCGAATGTCTCATCGTTTGATTGTTTATTTCTTATCGTTGGGTTGTTCATATATAATCGTTGGATAGTTTCTTCCATTTGATTCATCTTCGTCGTTTATATTAGTTTCGCTTTTATTTTTTATCCTGTTACTAATCCTGTTTCAGGTTTATATATTTTTCTTTTTCAGATTTTCAAAATTTTCAAGATTTTCAAGACATCGTTGGACGACGCGGAATGCGTGCGTTTAGACCTAAGTAGATGTAAGTACTAAGATAGATGCCTAGGCTAAGTCTCATGTGCGCGCTTTCTGTACAAAGGTAAGCTACCTAACTTGGAGCGAATATTATATTTTTCCTCCCGTTTTCCCTCTCGTTACCAAATTGAACATAATTGTTCTCACGATAATCGCGATCGTTCTTAAGTACCGACTAGCCTACGCGCCGTACTCTCGTATACTCGATAACTCCATGTTTCGTAAGTCATCCAAACGACTCGTTTCGACACTCACCCTCGCTCCTGCCACCCTTGTCACGCATCGGATCTAGGGTGGTCGGCGGGCTGGCACTCATCTGGGTCAATCCGAGGGTCTGTCGGCCTTAGTCGTCCTGGGCATCAGCGCGTGCACGACCGGGGTATGGGCCCTGTAGCCGTGACACTACATATGGGCCTGCTGTTGGACCCCAGGGATGATTGCTTAATTGCTTTCTACCCCGTGGGGCCGGGGGCCTGCGTGACCGGCTACAGGGCCTCGCCAGGGACCCTCGGCTTGATTTTGGGTGTTTCCCTGGTTCGTCGATCACTCTCGTTCGCGAGTAAGTCATGGCAGAGTCTGTGATGGCTGGGTGAGCTAGGTTCGATCGGGAGGGTGCCGAGGCATGGAATTGTCTTGTACACGACTGTACGTCTCGTAGGCTAGTCGGTCTTTCGAATGATCGCGAACTCGTTCGGGCGCGTCGCGAGTTTTTACTTGCTCGCGTGTGTGATATTTTGTTCCCTATTTTTATGGGAACTTGAAAATATCTTAGCGTTGCGACAGTAGAGTCTTAGTATACCGAATCGAATTCCCTTTGTAAGATAGGAAATATAATAAAGTGTCAGTAGAGTCATTTTAACTTAATTCGCTTCAAGTTAGATTAGGGTACCTTTGATACAGATAGTGCCAGCAGGCTGCGCCACTAGGGCGCATGTCCGGGTCTCGATGCGTAGCCATCTCCTCGTGATGAGACATGGTAATTGGTATCGTTTTCCAAAGAATAATTTTTGGAAAACGATACCTAGCTAAGAGCTACGGACAAAGTTTAAGATATTTTCTATCTCTTGTAAATTTTCAATGTCCTCTTTGGGATTTGAAAATAGAGAGTGGGCAATATCTGTTTAAATGATATTTAAATGAAGAGGACTTAAGGTAAGTAAGGAAAGGAACGCAAGTAAGGGTAGGTAAGTGAGCAAGGTAAGTATAAGGTGAGTATATGGTAAGTAAAATAATTAAAACGTACTACAAAGCAGGACAAGTATTGTCCCGAGAATTCTTCGAAATGATGTCCTTTCTTGAAACTGTTTCGACGAGCGACTTCCTTTTATGTTATGTTATCCTCATACAAAATCGCGAAATCGGCCGAAAATTTTACGGTGAGGTTGCAAAAGTATTGCCCGAGAATTCTTGGAAATGATGTCCTTTCTTGAAACTGTTTCGACGAGCGACTTCCTTTTATGTTATGTTATCCTCGTACAAAATCGCGAAATCGGCCGAAAATTTTACGGTGAGGTTGCAAAAGTATTGCCCGAGAATTCTTGGAAATGATGTCATTTCTTGGAACTGTTTCGACGAGCGACTTCCTTTTGTGTTATGTTATCCTGATACAAAATCGCGAAATCGGCCGAAAATTTTATGGCCTGGCTGCAAATACATTGCCCGAGAATTCTTGGAAATGCCGTCATTTCTTAGAACTGTTTCGACGAGCGACTTCCTTTTGTGTTATGTTATCCTGATACAAGATTGCGAAATCGGCCGAAAATTTTATGGCCAGGCTGCAAATACATTGCCCAAGAATTCTTGGAAATGTCGTCATTTCTTAGAACTGGCTCGGCGATAGACCTTCTTTCATGTTATGCTATCCTGATACAAAATCTCAAAATCGGCTGAAAATTTTACGGCAAGACTGCAAAGGTATTGACCACCCAAGCAGCAGAAGTATTGACCACCCAAGCAGCAGAAGTATTGACCACCCAAGCAGCAGAAGTATTGACCACCCAAGCGGCAAAAGTATTGACCACCCAAGCGGCAAAAGTATTGACCACCCAAGCGGCAAAAGTATTGACCACACAGGCGGCAAAAGTATTGACCACACAGGCGGCAAAAGTATTGACCACACAGGCGGCAAAAGTATTGACCACACGGGCGGCAAAAGTATTGACCACACGGGCGGCAAAAGTATTGTCCAGGTAATTCTTGGAAATGGCGTCATTTCTTGGAATTGTTTGGACATGCGATCCCCTTTCATGTTATGTTATCCTGATATAAAATCGCGAAATAGGCCGAAAATTTTACGGTGAGGCTGGAAAAGCGTTGCTCGAGAATTCTTGGAATTCTCTCGATGAACAACCTTCTGCCATGTTATGTTCTCCTGATACAAAATAGCAAATTCGGCCAGAAATTGTTCCTCGAGGCGACAAAAGTGTTGTCCGAGAATTCTTGGAAATGACGCCATTTCTTGGAACTGACACGGCAGTAGACCTCTTTTCATGTTATGTTCGCCTAATAGAAAATCGTAAAATTAGCAGGGGGTTTCATGCCGACGCTGTCAATTTTTTAGGCCCAATATTCTTTCAGCGTGAGAGCTTCTTTAATGTTATGTTCGCCTAATATAAATTCCTATTAAAAATGATGTTACGATAGTGGGAGCGAAACCTATTCATAGTACGTGATCGTCAAGACAATAAATGAAACTTAAAAAAAAAAACGATATTTTCTGTACATTCTCCATCCTACTAATAACTATGACAAAAATTTAAGTTACTCGTCTACAAACGATATACCCTTCTTCATTGTTCTTATGTCTAATTTATTTTGTATCCTTTCCTGGTGTACGAAAAATAAACTCAATATACCCCTAATGCAAGCCAACCATACCGCGCTAATGCTTTCGATAAGGATAAAAAAATACAAGGATAAAAGATCACAGAAATCTGAAAAGAAACAGGAATGCAGAATGCGCGAAGAGATCTTCTAAACCTCGTTACGTGGTAGACAAGGACAGCAAGCGGTTAGAGAACGACAGAGACGAAGCCGCAATAAAAAATCAAATTACCAAGTTTTTACGATTAATTTATGAACTTTTATAGCCGTATCGCAAAGCTGCATCTTTGGACAATATTCTTATACAATTTTCGTACATAATTTAATGCCAATTAATTAGTTATTAATTATTATTTGAAGACGGACATGATCCAGTAACAACGACCGTTATGATTATTCGTTAAAATATTTAATTATGGACAAAACTAGAAGTAAAATATGATCAAAAGTGATATGAGAACATGCGCAAGAATATTGTTTTTATAACGGGTCCATGAATATCACAAAATAATTGCATAGGAAATAATAATCAATGAACAATTCTTATTACGTTCGACATCGATTCAAACACTCCGAGAAATAATTACCAATAATTTAATAATTAGGAAGAAATTTGTATTTAAAATAATATTAAAAGGTTGCTTAAGGCTGTTTCTTTATGATGCAGTTATAAAAGTTGACAAATTATTCACAGAAATTGAATAATTTGATGATTTTCCTTCCAAGTGAATCGTATTGGTGAATTGTTATTCTCCGTCCATTTCTGAGGGTGGTGCGAATCGTTGATTGGTGCTAATTGGCGCTACCGTTGATGGTAGCCAATAGAAAAGAATTGCGATCAGCGTCATTTATGATTTTTCACGCGAAGTTTTCGACGATCAGCGCGCCGTCTATCAGTTTCAACTGAGAACTCACGGAGGTTTTATCGGATACCTCCTCGCGTATTCTGTGTTCCTGTTACTTTTCAGAGCTTCGAGTTGAAAGTCATAGATGGCTCTGATCGAATGTCACTTGATCTTCTATCCTTGTCTACCTTATCGAAAGTATTAGCGCGATATGGATGGGTTGCATTAGGGGTGTATCAAGTTTACTTATTAATATTCGTACTACGTATCTTATTTTGCTTCACATTTTAGACATTTTTTTAATCCTTTGCTATTTTTACGATAACATGAAAAGAATATAGCAATATATTATTGATCGTTTAGAATTCGCAGAGTATAAAAGCACAACTGAGATCGAAACAATGAATAAGTAACCTAACCATTGTAAATATAAGAAATAGATACACACATATATATATATATATTTATGACGTTTGCGTGTAAAATCATAATGAATTGTGTTTTTTTTTTTTACGCGTATTTACGGGTAAATACGAATTACGCGTAGCTACGGTACTGTCGAAGCTAGAGAAGCGAATAGATGGAGAATATTTTCGATTACGGATTCGCGTTGACGAAAGTAAACTGAAATTTCCGTTGAACGGTGTAATTGAATCGATGATTAACGAGGGTGAAAAGAATGCGTACGTACCTTGTTTCAGCGAGTTTACTTTAGTAGTAACGGTCCGAATTTTCTTGACAAGCGAGTAACGCTGACAATGCGGCGTAAGTATATCTTGTACATCTTGTTCTCCTTGAAAAGGTAACGACTGTGGTTCTATCGGTAAATTATGCCAGTATAACCTCAATCTATGCTGAGGAGAAAAATCTGCCGAGTCTATCACGTCGGGTTCTTGTCCCAAATGCCTGTTACGCAAACGACCGGGTATCTGTATTTCTGGATGAAACTACGAAACGTTTGTCACTTACTTGTTAATCTCCAATCTATACTCGCTCGGCATCGAAGCGACGTTTTCGTATAACCAAAATAGACGACGTTTATTGTTTTTCTTCTTCACTAGCTCCAAGATTCGACGGTATTCGAAAAAGAGGATGCCGGTTCCGTTCGGATCTGAAACGAGATAAGTACGATGGGAGGCTAGTCGTTGGGCGTGCGCGCGCGCGCGCGCGCGTGTGTGTGTGTGTGTGTGTGTAAAACGGTAACGAGTTTGGAAGGCAATTGGTCGAACCATGAAGTCCGAGTCGCATAGGATTGGCCAAGCTAAGATCGTTACACGGTGATCCGCCGATCAATAGATCGATCGGTGCCATTTCACCGATCATTTTCTCCGTGATATCCTTGACGTTGCCCAGGCGAATGATGCGATCGCCGAAATGCGAAGCGCTGACCATCAACGCATCCGGGTCGATTTCGCTGGCGTAGTACGCGTCCACGGCTAAGCCCAACTTTAGAAGTACCAGTAAACCTGAAAAACACCTGCCTTCCTAGAAATCGGTGAACGACTAGAGACGAAGGAGAGAAGACAAGAAGAATGCCAAGCACCTGTAGCGAGGCCATCGAACAGGGACAGAACGCGTATCTTTCTCTTCTCCCGATTACGTTCTACCAGCTGTTGCACGTTCGAATTGCAATTCGTACGGAACATGTTGATTATCTTGTCCTTCCAATTTGCTCGTGGTCGGACGATCATGTCGGGAAACGATCGAGACTTACTGGCGCAGAGGAAGCATTCCCAAGGATCTTCCTGGAGTACTTGCTCGTAGGTCGTCCGGCATAACAGGTGTTTCATGCAAGCGGTACAGTACACCCTGGAAAAAACAGCGATTCCTCAATTTCCGCGTGGATCCCGCGATCGCGAGCGCGTGTATTTACCTTGGGCAATCCTCTTTGTCGCAGATGATCATCATTCCGGACGCGGCGCATACGGTGCAATAGAACTAGCAACGAATCAACCTCCATTACTTACCATATATATACCACGGAGGTAGGGGAAGGGATACTTACGCACTTGGCATCATTGCCGAAAACGAACATACAGGGTTTATATCGTCCCTGAAACGAAAGCATTACGAGAAAATTATTTTCTGTGCTCGGTGTGCTCGGTGTGCTCGGTGTGCTCGATGTGCGCTAGTGATTATACCGTACCGAGCAGTCCTCGCAGAGAGATCCCTCGAAGAACGGATGAATCTCCGTCCTCCTGCTGTCCTCGGGAACTTTTAGACACTTTAGGCACAACGATTCGAACGCGATGTCCCCGTTCATCGCGGATCGTAAATCATCTGGATCGAAAAGAGCAATATCTGGTTTTACTCTGGTTTCTCGTTAGCTCTCGACCACTTACCTCTATTCGCGTAAACTCACCGCTCTTGCTTATCTCGTCGGTCCGTTCATCGTCCACGTTCGGATTGTTCTTCAACTCGTACAATTTCGTTACTATACGAGCGGAATATTTGTCGTATATTTTCACGGAATCTGCTCGTCTGGATGGATCATCGTGCAACGTTGAAGAACGTTGCTTTGCTTTCGAGAAATATCGCAACGCGTCGTCCAGAGTCCAGTTCTCCGTTTCGAATCCCAGCCGAAAGCAATAATCCTGAAAAAAATGGCAAGTTTGACGGTTGAGCGGGAATCCGCGAACGATAGCGGCGTGATCGAGAGCACGCGATGCGATAGATAAATACCTTGGATGCTTGAAGGACCCCGACGAGATAGATATGCTTTTTCGTATTATTTATGTAGTCGCGCATTTTTTCCATACCCTTATCGAATTTCAAGAACAATCGATGATGGACCTGTGGTAGAACGAAAAAGCCGTGTGTTTGGAAAATACGCGGTGGTGGTGGCGAGCGAATGATATCGCGATAGGATTTTGATAAACGGCAAAACTAGTTATTAATTTCCTTAACGTATCGTTGGAAAACATTTTGCATTTCCCTTTACGCGTGAAATTCGTGTAATAATGTTCGATAATTTTTACCTCTGAAAGCTTGTAGTCACCGTACCACATAATCCACTGGCAACCAAAGCTTGGTTCCCGCATGCAACAGTCGCGATAATCGATAATCATTGCTGCGACATAAATAGGGAGCACCATATTTTCGTTTTCTATTCGGCCTCGAAACAGGTGAAAGAATTTTGAAAACGCGCGAAGCAGCAGTTTGCAAAGTGGACTCGATCGTTCGTGTGCTGGAACTTTGCGAATCGACACACACTGATGGTACACATAATACACGAGAGTCGTGTACGCGTTCGGAAAGAGGAAGAAAATCTCTGGAAGAGAGAGAGATTTAGGATGTGCAAGATGGAAATCGAAACGATCGGAAAGTGCGCGGAGAGTATCGCGAGGAGTATCGAAACGATAGTTACCGACACAGCAAGATCGAGCGGAGTTCTAATAGGGTAAAACGAGGGAACGTAAAACGCGTTACCTGGCCACCAGTTGTGTCCGGCGATTTTAGCCCAAGCTATAATTCCGGCATTCTGTTCCTTGAGCGGTAAACGCGTCGGATCTACGTTGCTCCTTTGCGCTGGATCTTTCGGCTTCTCCGTCCACTTTTTCCCCTGACTTTCTCCTGTTTAAAACGTACGTGCCGATCCACTGTTTTAGCGCCGGAGAAAACACGCGCGCCCACAACCGAATATACCTACGTTTTTGGTCTAGCACGTATTTCTCCGTAACTTTTGCGTTCTTCTCCCTCAGATGCTCCAATCTCTGCTGTATTTTAATCGGGTACGGGTAGAATTTCACCTCGTCCAACGCTGCCACGTGAAAAGAATCGATTCAATTCGAATTCCGCGTATACAGGTTAGTCGGTTCGCAAGAGACAGAGAGAAAAAGAAAAAACTATTCGGTCACTTACTTTCGATCGCGTTCGAGTAATTGTTTTGGATCCACGAGAAGTAAGGCTTCGTTAAAGCACAGCCCAATGTCTTGCGCAGTATCTGAAGCAAACTCGCGTCTTGAGTAAAGAAAAAACAATGAAACGTGCTTAATTTCCCGTTCGTTAGTCGAACGGAGTATGGCGTAGAAGGAAGATGAGAGAGAAAAGAAAAAAAATGAAAAAAAAAGAGAAAATGATAAAGAAAACCTGCATGGTTGCGTCAATGGCATGGATTCGCGCAATGTTCAAGTTGTGCGTTAGCCTACTCTCGAGGTTGCACGAGAACGGTTCGATCTGTGTCTTTTCGTTCAGCTGAAACGAAGGTAAAATAGCTGTCAATTCCGAGGGATGCTCGTTGCTCGTAGAGAAATTTAACGGAAATAAAAGAAAAATATACTAAAACGTATATTCACTAATGATATACGAGCTTCTCCGATCCAGTAAACCCATAATTTTCCTGCCTCGGATAACATTCCTACATGGTCGGCATCGATAATCAACGCTGTAATATTACACAGAAAGGTTTACTTAGAACATTGCTGCAGCATCGATTTCGTTCGTCTGGTCTCGTCTGGTCTCTCGCGACGTTTCGTGTCATTTCGTGTCGTTTCGTGTCGTTTCGTCTCGTCTCGTCGCGTTTCGTCGCGTTTCGTCGCGTCGCGTCACGCGCGTTACCTCGATCCTATTACTCCAGCTTTACGTGTACGCGTACACGCGCGCTCGGACTCTGGATCGATAGGTCGCGTCGATCGCCGGTGCCATTTTATCGATAATCGAACAAGCGTGGTAATTCGATAGCGGAAATGGCGACGGCTCGCGTTTAATCTTCGTTCGAACGAAATCAAAGAACGATCGTAAAGTAACGAAAAGCGTGGAAATTCTTGCCTGGCCACCATCCCGAGCAACTGCCCCACACCAGTTTGCCCACGAATAGATCCTTGCCGATTTTCATCGATCCTCGCGTCACTCTTCTGACCTCCTGATATTCTTCGTTCCCTTTGCACGTTTTCGCGCCAAGTCCCTCGCTTTTCACGAATTTTTTCATCACGGGCTCGGCGGTGATCGTGGCGGCGTTCTCGTTCCGAGGCATTTCGCTCCCTTTCGCGTGCGAATCGTTTCGTTCGTTTTCGTTCCACGATTTGCCTTCGTTGGAAATCCTCTCGGCCAACGGAAGCGTGTGAATCTCGTCGAATTTCACCGATCGAGCAGCATCCTCGGCCGCGTATAGCTCGTTTTCCAACGGTTCTCTCGACGCACGGTCGAATTTCGTTCGATTCTCGATCAACGCGTTATCGTCTTCTCTCCAACTACGTCGTTCGTTTCCGTCGCACTCCGTGCGAACCACGGCGCGCGTTTCTTCCCTTCCTTCGTTAATTGGCCACGAACTCTCGAACGCATCGAGTTGGTCGATTTCGATGGTTATCGCGTCGACGTTCGTCGGGCCATCGTTCGCCATCTTTGCCGGATAGAGATGGCTCGCGTGGTTTTCGCGCGACGCGTTTTCTTCTCGGGAAGGATCGCGTCGCGATCCATCGTTTCTATCGATCCGTTTACGTTTCGTCACGGGGGAGACTGGGTTATCGATCGGCGAGGAAAGAGCGGTGCTTCGAGTGCGATAGGAAAAGCGACGCTGCTGTTGATCCACCTTGGAACGGTCCGTGTTTTTGATATCTCGATTCGCCCATTTGCCAGACGCTCCGAATTTGCTTTTACGCGATCTCCAAAACTTGTCCACCGTGACGACGTCGTCTTTCCTGTTTGCAAAAACGTTTCTTCGGGTTCTTCGCGTCCTAGACGCGAATTTGTACGCGAATTTCGACGCTCGTTTTCTCCTTCCGTCGCCGTTCACTCGCTTCGACAGGGAGTCGTTCGAGAAGTACGCGTGCGTCCTTGCGGAAGATTCCGAAGAAGCTTGATCGTTACGCGGAGAACATCTCCCGACGTCGATCGAACGACTGGTCGAAATCTCGGTGTCGGTATCTGCGCGGGATCGTTCGTTCGACGCCGTGTCCGATATTAAGCCCAATTCCATCGCGCATACCATGGACCACACGCTTTTCTCCGCCCATAGCTGCAACGGATCCATCCTGGTTGATCGGTTGATCGGTCGGTCGGGACGAGACCTGCAACGAAGCAACGAGAGTAACGAATCGGCGGTCTATCGCGCGGACAGAGTCCGGGGAAGAGTTCGGAAAGAGAGCGACCGAGTGCGTCGAAAGCGGAGACGACGCTCGAGATGCACGGTAGGGCAGAGAGAGAGAGAGAGGGAGAGAGAGAGGGGGAGGGAGAGAGAAGGTAGCGCGCGCGACGAACCGAGGAGGAAAGATCGAAATCGCTTTTCAAACAGCATCGTGGAGGGTTGGGAAGAAAAAAGGAGGGTGAGGGGTAGGGTTGAGGGTTAAGGGGGGTATGCGATCCACGTGGCGCCTCGAAAGGCATTTCTCGAGGTCGCGGCGTGCTTTGCCGGGGTCGACCTGATGAATGGAAACGTCGGTATTATTGTGTTTACACGCGGGACACACGGGGGCCTCTCTCGCTCTCTCGCCACACTTGGCGTGGAAACATTCATTCATAAAGCGTTCCGCGCGTTCCTCTCACCACCGCCTGGCCCTCCTCCCTAGCCCCGTCCGCCTCTCACCCCTTGTTCCGTTCCTCTCCTCTCCTTTCCTCTCCTCTCTCCGCTCTCTCCTCTCTCCTTTCTCTCTGCGCCGCTCCGCGCCACTCTCCCGCCGCCGTTATACCCCTCTACGCGAGGGTAGGTACACGACCCTCCGTCGAGTGTAGAGGGGTAGTACCAGTGACGTAGCCAGAATTACGACAACGACCTGCTGATTCGCTTATTTTATTGTCCCCCAGGTCGTGTCCACTCGCCAGTCGGCTCGTCGAGGCCGCGTTCTCGATTCTTTAACGCGCCTCTCGGCCTCCTTAACCGACATTGTCGCCATCAACCTCTGTCTCTTCTTTACTTCTCTCTTCCTCTCTCTCCACTTTGACGCCGTTAGCGACGCACGCTGCGAGATTTCTTTCGCTTTAGACAAATGGTGGAAATTCGAATGGAATAGAGGCGCGAAGGGTTTGCAATTTTTAGTCGATACGAAGAAGGCAAAGAAGGAGGGATGGATGGGAAGGAAGGAAGGAAGGAAGGGAAGAGAGGAGAGATGGAGCGAGAGCGGGTTGTCGACCGACCGACCGTTCACCGTTCACCGTGCCGTGACGCTTAAACGTATCGTTAGGTGTGTGTTTTCAAAGGATACTCGAAGCTTCGGAATCTCGCGCACGCGATCCTGCGTAGCGTTCTTAGCCGCAGAGCGCTTCGCCGCGGTGTCGGCGATCTCGCGTGACTGCCTTCGCGTTACGATCTCACGCGAGAGGCTTTTTCGCTCGACTAAATTTCGCACGGAACATCGATCGACACGCGCGCGCGCGCGCAAGAATTGTACGCGATTCGCGTGGTTTTTCGAAAAAAATCTTTGTTCTCGCCCGAGCGCGAATTCGAAACGATTCTCCCCGGTGGTGAAACGAGAAAAACGGTGAATCGAGAAAAGCGGTTCGGTGAACCGCGCTCTCGCTCTCTCGCTCTCTCTCTCTCTCTCTCTCCCTCTCTCTCTCCCTCGTATACGCGATCACGGACAACGACGAACGATACAGTAGTGTTTACGCGTACTCAGCTGATATGAATGGACTAGGAGCGCGAGCGAGTGTACGTATTTGTGGATTCGGTCATGACGACTTTCAGTATAAATTGAAACTTCTCGAGGGTGTCTCGTCGGCGGCGGGAGAATGTCAAGGGGCGAAGGACAGAGAGAGAGAGCCGGTTTACCGGGAGCACCGGACAAAGATGGAAAGAAGCGTCGAAAGAGAGGGGAGAGAACGAGCGAGGGAGCGACCGACCGACGGAGAGACGGAGAGAAAGAGAGAGAGACGGATCAGCGAAGGGTACAAAGCCACGAAGCTGGGTCAGTTCCGTTTAGTACGAGGTAGGCTACGATTCAGTTTGGATCGGAGGAGGTGCACGGACTCGAGAGAGATCCGTGCATCGCGTAATCGTCCACCGAAGCAACGCTCTCTATGACGCGTCCCATCTTCTCGCCTTCCACGTTTCTCCCGTTTTCAACGCATTCCTAGTTTCCCCCACTTTTCCTTTTCCTTTTCCCTCTTTTCTCCTTTATCCGTTCGTTTATCCTCCTACCCATCCCCTACTATACGCCGCTTTCACTCGGAACGATTTCGCGCAGAAAGGACCCGCGTAATCGTCCCTCGGTGTTTCGTTTCGATTTTCGAAACGGACGAGATGCGGGACCGTGGAAAAAAGAGGTTTCGAAAGGGTGGGTACGCGTAGGCTCACGCTAGAGTGAAACGAGCCGCGGCCAATCCACGGCAATTCGCTCGCGCGCACGCGCGCGCCTCTGTTCCTCCTGTTCCTTTTTCCTCGTTCGCTCGCGATTCTTCGGGCGAGTCGTTTATCTCGATTGTTCGCTCGATCGCGAAGCGTTGCGTAGAGAGCTTCGTATTTGCGCGGTGGACGCAATGGGCGGGTGAAGGAGCTCTCCCGCCGAGAGATGAGGAGGAAAGAAGGTATGTAGGCAGGCAAGCAGGTAGGTACGTAGGTAGGTAGGTAGGTAGGTAGGTAGATAGGTAGGCAGGCAGGCAGGAAGGAAGGAAGGAAGGAAGGAAGGAAGGAAGGAAGGAAGAAAGGAAGAAAGGAAGGAAGGAAGGAAGGAAGGAAGGAAGGAAGGAAGGAAGGAAGGAAGGAAGGAAGGAAGGAAGGAAGGAAGGAAGGAAGGAATGGCGGGAGGGGGGGAGGGAAGGAAGGGTAGGAGGGCGAGAAGATAGAAAGGAGAAAGGAAGGCGGAAGGAGAGAAAGGAAGGAAGAAACGAGGTAGAGAAACGTACGAAGAGAAGAAAGAACTAGGAAGAGAGGGCTCCACTCGCCTAGCGCAGCGTGGGCTTTTCTTGTATTCTATTGATTTTTCCGAAAGTTCGCGTGGTGGGAGTCTGGCAGGCAGCGGTGTGCGAGCTTGGCCAGGAGCGTGTTTGCGTGAGCTTCGACGACGGTATCGTCTTTTCCGTCTCTCTCCCTCTCTGCCTTCTTCTCTCTCTCTCTCTTTCTCTCTCTGTCTCTCCCTCTCTCTGCATACGTCTCCCGCTCGGTCGGTCGGTCGCAGGGCACCGCGAGCGAGGATGGCTCGCTGCTCGCAGCAGGCGCGCGCGTTCTCTTTCCTACTCGAGCGCCTCCTTTCGTTTCTCCGCCGATGGTTCTCTTTCTGTTTCGAGGATCGGTCTGTACGAGCGCTTCCCACTTGGTCGCGAGCTGTGCTCGTCTCTCGCTCGGTCGAGCGGCGCGCACCGGCTTCCCTCTCGCTCGCTCGGCTTTGCGTGAAATCCACCCTCGACCCTGCCTGCTTCGGCTCGTTCGCGCTCGCGCTGCTGCCCGGTGATATACGTATACGTATGACTGGTCAGTGCACGCCCGCGCACATGCACATGCACACGTACACGTACACGCAGCACGCGCGCACCAGCTATTCGAAACAGGAGCGTGTTAAGGAGTTTGACTTTGACATTATTTTTAAAAGATCGCGCGCGCCACCCGTGGCATATCGGCGCGCGATCGAACTATCGCCATCTATCGCGTACACCCGTGTTCGACCGAGCAACGCGCCACGTTTGTCCGCGTCGCGATCGCTTCGTCGAATATTTCCAAACATATCCTTCTCTCTCTCTCTTTCTCTCTCCCTCTCTCTCCGTTCTCTTACGCGAGGACAAATATTCCAAGTTTGTTTCTCGCCTCGATCGTCGACCCTTTCCATCAACGAGGAATCTCCACAACGACCATGTTAGAAGATCGCGCGAAGTAGCGCGGTGCAATCGCTCTTTGGAGCGCGCGCGGATTCTTGGAATGGAAAGAAACCGCTTACGCGGATCTCGCGGGGCGAAAGGCGCATCGCTTCGGTCGATCGGAACCACGATCGTCGATATCGAGACGTCGCGGTGCGTTTCGCCTCCAGGCGAAAGGAAAAATTTGCAATTGTCGCGGCGGTGGTGGTCGTGGCTATGGTCGCGATCGAGGGGGCGAGAGAAACGCCGCGGCACGGTTTCTCGGTACAGCCCTGGGTATCCCATCCACCTACATCGCGGCAGGGTCACCGCATGCACCACTACCACGACGTTCTATCGTGCATACGTGTACGCGTACGTGCCCTTATATACGACGGAGCTGTCTCGGTTTCTCCGTCGGTCGGTCCCTCTCTCGCTGCCGGCCTCTCGACCATGTATATACGCGCGAGCGCCACCAACGAACCAACGACGAACGAGCGAGTCCGCGCGCACGTTCTCCCACTCTCTCGCTCCACGCGCGTACGCACGCACGCACACACACACACACACACACACACACGCACGCGCGCGCGCGCGCACGTATATATAGAAGCGTATATATATATACACATATGTGTGTGTATATATATGCATATGTATATACGTATATATGCGTATATAGAGATATACACGCGAGTTCGCACACGCTGGCGGTCGCGCTCGAGCTCGCTTTCCCACTCCGATGTACACCCTCGCGGCGGACTCGGTCGAATGGATTGCACGCGTTACACGGACACGCGTGCACCGAGCCGCGTTTCGACGCGTGCATGCACCTACGGTGAAACGCTGGGAGCGCAAGCCGCGCGCACGGTTCGCCGCCGCGGCCAGGCACTCGGCCAGCGAGCCAGTTAGACTGGCAGGAAATCGGCCAACCAACGGCCGGCCGTGCCGCGCGTCCCTTCGATCGATAAGGAGGATCGATTTTCCCCGCGGAATCCACCACACACTCTCGACTCGCGGCAACTGCCTCTTTTCTCGCGACTCTTTGAAAATTCTTCGATTCGCGCCTTACCGTGTTTCGCGTCGTGGTTTCTCCCAATTTGTTCCGCGGATTCGACGAAGAGACAGAGAGGGGGAGAGAGAGAGAGAGAGAGAGAATTTCGCGATACCGCGGCTAAAACTCGAGGTCAATTAGCGGCTAGGCCGACTGTACTGCCGATGGTACGCGGGAGTTTCGAAAGGCCGCTCCCGTCTCGAAAGGAATCGCGTCCATCGAAGACGTCCAGCTCGAGAAAAGGATATCGCGTGCCAAGTTTCTCGTCGAGGCTCGAAGGATTCGGTTGCGACATTCCGGCGATCACGACGTTGTCGCGTAATTTGCATAATGCCATCGGTACCGACGCGAGAACGTACGCGGACAGGATGAACGGTGGACCTTCTAGCAAATACGATCGTTGCTATGACGAAATCGCGAACGGCTCGAAAATCTGCTCCGAAAATAATTATACGTAGAAAAACAGGGGGAGTGAGAGAGAGAGAGAGAGAGAGAGAGAGAGAGCGAGAGAGAGAGAGCGAGAGAGAGAGAGAGAGAGCGAGAGAGAGAGCGAGAGAGAGAGAGAGAGAGAGAGAATGTCACGGATCGATTTATCGTTTATCGTTGGATAACGATCGACGATCTTTAATACGCTGTTGGAAAAAACGATACGAAAAGAATGATACGGGAATAAAATTTTCAACGAACAAACGCGAAGGAAAGAAAAGGAAAGGAAGGGATCCTGAACGGTAGAGTAGCTGGCACTATCGTTATCGTTGTTCGTCTTTCGTGGCATCGACGTTGCTATTGCCGATGTTACCGTTGCTGTCTCCGGCAACGTCGTCGTCGTCGTCGTCGTCGTCGTGTTCGTCATCTTCGTCGTGGTCTTGGTCGTCGACGTCGACGTCGTCGTCGTCGTCGCTGCCGCGGTCGGCGGGAGGCTCTGAAACCGAGCGAGACCGAACGTAGTCGATGGAGGTCGGAAACGCACGAACCTCGCGGCTCGAGCGACCGAACCAGCGACACGACCAAGCAGTGCGGTGCCGACTCTTGCTGCCGCGGTTTCGACTTCCGTGGTGTGCGTGGACGAGTGTTTACGCGATAGCGGTCTTCTCGTCGAAACGAATACGGAGCAAGGCGTACGCAGTAGGATAGGAAAAGAGCGAGAGAGCGAGTGAGAGAGACAGGGAGGGAGTGAAAGAGAGAGAAAGGGAATACGGAACGGAGTCGAGGAAGGAAGGAAGGAAGGAAGGAAGAGAGTGTGAGAGAGAGAGAGAGAGAGAGTGAGGGTAGAGGGCGAGAGAGAGACGAAGGAGGACGAAGGAGAGAGGAAAGAAGACGAGAAGAGGAGGCCCGTTCGCGGTGGAGTCGCGACGTATCGTTGCGCCGTATCGAGGTTTAGAGGAGCGGTACACGTCGTCGCGTTATCGGAAGCGAAATAACGCGACGAGTCGTCCGGCTGGCGAGACGACTGAACACCGCCGACGCTCGTCCAGGGAAACAGAGAAAGAGGGTGGAGAGGAAGAGGGGGACAGAGGGAGTGAGAGAGAGAGAGAGAGAGAGAGAGGAGAGGGAGATAGACGGATAGATAGACGGACAGATAGAGAGAGAGAAGAAACGAGAGGGAGAGAGAGGGAGAGAAATAGAAAGAGGTAGAGAGCTAGAGAGGGAGAGAGAGAGAGAGAGAAAGGCGGAAGGCAGGGAAAAAAGAGAAAACATCGTGCCGTCTTTATCGTCCGGGGCGTGGGTGCAGCGAACGCGAATCCCTCGGACGAAACCGCTTTGCCGCGAGCAAACGACGAGCGGGAGCGAGGAAAAAGACGCGGAGAAAAAGAGATGGTCGAGGACGGTACGGATCCGTCGCGAGAATCGAGTCGAGTAGCCTTTTCTTCTCTCGTCGGAACGTCTTGAGGAGGCCCGAGCAACGGTGTGGCATCATCGCGGGAAGTCGAGGAACGACGAGAGACGAGTAGTAGACGTTGCGCGTGCAACGGACGAGGAGGAGGAGAAGAAGAAAAAGGAAGAGAAGAATAAGCAGAAGGGAGAAGAAGCGGACGAGGAGAAAGGAGATCGAGAGAGCGGAGCGATATACGCGGAAGAGGAGAAACTTGGGAAAAGAAAGTTGGGAGCCGGGAAGGATATTATTCGGCACGGCGAGCAGCGATCGCCGCGGTGGTGGTCGTCGTCACGTGTAGCCGCGTGCGGGTGAAAACCGTGAGAGAGCGCGGACTCTGGAAAAGGAGCGAGACGATTTCGCGGTCTCGAGCGGAAAGTAGCAGCGGAAAGTAGCAGCCAAAGACGGACACCGTGGGTCCGGCTAGCGGACGACGTTTACCTCTCTCTTTGTCCGTCGGCAGACTCGGCTGCGAGATTTTTCCTTACGTCGATCGAGCGTGGTGGTCGACGAGAAGAAGGAGGAGAAGGACGACGACGACAACGACGACGACGACAACGACGGCGAAGACGACGACGACGACGACAACGACAACGATAACAACGACGAGAGCTCCGACGGTGGATCGAGGAGGCGTTATCAAGACCGGCCGCCGGATATCCTGGAGGACGATGACGATGGTGGTAAGAAGGATCGCGAGCGGTAACCGGAGGACGAGTAGCACGAGAGGACTCGATTGAATCTCGATCGAAACTCGATCGAATCCGCTCGATTGGCGGCGATCGTCGCCGCCATCGCCGTCGTCTGTCGCCCCGTAGCCGGCGACCGTCGTCGGCGACCGACCGGGCGAGCCGTCGGTCCCGTCGTCGCGACGGTACCAGCGGAGATCGCCTATCGTTTTACCCTGCTATACCGGTGTGACCAGTAGTAATATAATAACACGCAGTGTACCAGTGAGTGTCGGTGCGAGCACGAGCGAGTGGCGCGGAATCGCGCGGGATCGCGCTAGCCTGCCGACGGCTCGCGCCTTCTCTCCGCGAAGCCGTCGGGGAGGGCGGACTGCTGTCTAGCTCGTCGTCGCTTTGCCAGCCAACGAATCCACGCGATTCCATCGTCGTCGTGGTGGTCGTCGTGGTGGTCGTCGTCGTGGTCGTCGTCGTCGTTGTGGTTGTTCGAGTAGCGTCGCTGGCAGAGAACGACCGAGGAAACGACCGAGGTGCGTGGTGCGAGGGGAACCAAAGGTGATCGTACCATTTGCCTGGAGAATAATCGCGCAACGATAATCGACGAGGATGCAGGTGGCAACGCTGTTTAGGGAGAGCGCCACCCTGCTGGGTGCCTCTAGCCTGGATCCCCCGCAGACGCATCATCACCAGGCTATGCATCCTCAGCAGCAACAGCAGCAGCAACAACAACAGCAACAACTTCAACAACATCCCGCGGACCTGCATTTAGCTCATCACATGCAGCATCACTACAAATTGTAAGTCTCTTTGCGATATTTCGTTCGCGTGGCGCATTTTAAAAAGGCGGCGCGCGGTGCAGGAATGGCGGAAAGGCGGGTTCCGACGGCGAGGAAAATGCGGCAGAATGGTCGCCTCGTTTGCCTCGGAGGCTGCGGAAACGCGACGTCTCTGGCCGCGATGGTACACGATCGGTATCGAAGAGGGTAAATATTCGTTGGGACGGATGGAAAGCTCGCGCGGTGTTGGTCGGTGGCCTCCGACGGAGGACGCGGAGCGTGCAGCGACGGAAAGACGATAACGTCGTTTGGAACGGAGAATACGCGCGGATCTCTCGATCGCGGTTCGAACGACTTCCGTTCTCTAACGACGTCTTTGTTCCGGTGGCCGATGCGACGGGATCGACGCGCGGAACGAGAACGCTGGGACGGAGAGAATGGGAATCTCGTGGTCGATTCCCGTTCGCGGCCCTTCTTCCACCGACACCGTTATCGCGTTGTCGCCGATACGAGAATGTCTTTCCGTCTCCCCTCTCCATCCGGTGGTTGTCGCGGTTCCACCCTTGGTTTCCGACCTCGGCCTTTTTACCAATTTCGTCACGCGCGCCGCCAAGGGACAGGGTAGCATTTGTATTCGTTGCGCAAGGTCCGGTCGTGCCCTCGTTCCTTAAACCGTACAATTTGTTCGAGGTATCTCCGCGCGCGCTCTCTCTCTCTCTCTCTCTCTCCCCGAGTTTCCAGCGGACCGTGTACAGTCCGCGTACAGTCGGCCCCGCGTGATCGATGTCACCGCGATAACCGTGGAAAAGGTAACGCGCGCCAGTCTTCTTCTTCTTCTCTCTCTCTCTCTCTCTCTCTCTCTCTCTCTCTCTAAATTCGTCGCCGAGCGTTTTTTCTCCGCGGCGACCACGACGAGTTTCTTTTCTACGTGGCACACACGCGTCGGACGTCCGGCCGGCCTAGAAGCGGAGACGCGATAAACGCGGCCGCGTCTGCTGCAAAGGCAGCGGAGAATCGAAGGGAACCGAAGCGAAACCGAGCAGAGAGGCGAAACCGCGAGAAGTTTGGACCAGACGCGAGGCCGCCAATAGGTCAAGGCTAGATTCCGTGCTTCGACCGGTATCCGCTATCTCTAGCCTAGCCGTTTCCCGGCAAATTCCTCGCCAACTTTCCTCGCGCGCGCCACACCAGCGCGCGTTTCTTCTTCCCTCGACGCGGACGAGCGAGCGAGCAAGCGAACAAACAGGCTGGCAGGCAAGCCGCGATCCTTTCGCTCGCACGGATTTCACCGGCCGTCATCGGAACTCGATAACGGCTGCCGACGACCGGTCGACGAAGAAGCGGCTGTAACGAATTCCTAGTGGACGAAGCGCGAAACGGACGAGATCGCGGTCGTGGTCGTGGTCGCGGTCGCGGTCTCGCCGCGAAAACGATCGACCAGATACACACGGTGGAAGGTAAACGAAGCCACGTGGCGCTGCGAAAGACGCGTTTCGGAGACGGACCAAGAAGGAGGATATTTCGCGGATGTCGCGTAGCCGTATACCACTGGTCCGTGTAAGAGAAGGCGGCAAGCGTGGTCACGTGTCGCGGATAAATCGCGTTCCACCGATAAAAATCGACCTCGTCGATAAGATAGAGCCTCCTGCCTCTTGCACTCGTCCTCCCTTTCTTCGTATCTGCCTCTTCGTCGCTCGCCGAGGCTCTCTAGAGTAGAGAGCCGCGGGTCGGTAGGTCGGACGTAGTCTCGTGCACCGAGTTATTCGCGTATTCCGTGAGTCGCGAATACGCGGACGACCTACGAGACTCGCGAATCGGTTTCGACAAAGCCCCGGTATTCTTCTCGTCGCGGCAATTTAACACCGTTTAAAGCCTCTCGCGGAAAAAACGAGCCTTTCCCCTCCCCCCCCACCACCGTCGTTTGCTCGCGTAACGAATGCGTTCCGTCCAAGGACGCATCTCGAACGGACAACTCGGATCGTTTATACCGTATTCGTGATCGAATCGGCGACCGTGGTCCGAGAGACCGTATAGCCCGAGAAGAGCCCGTGGAAACCGGCGCCGACTCGCGCGATTCGGGAAACGGCGAACGAAGCGGACGGAGCAGACGGTGGATAGGGTATTCGCGACGCGTATTCCAAGGCGGAAAAACACTCGGCATGCCGGAGGATCGGTGGGTCGGTTCGGCGGGTAGCGGAGCGGAATGAAAAAACGAGTGGTTCGGAGCGTGGAAGAAAGGACGCGCGAGGACTGGACGTGCATGACTTTTCGAGTTAACGCGCGTAAATCGCATTCCGAGCGACGCGAAACCCTAGCCTCGCGTCTCGACTGGTTCTCCTCCGAGTTTCCTCGCGCGTTCGCTGTACTTTTTTTTTTTCTTCCTTTTTTTCCACTCGCGCTTCTCCTCGCGCTTCTTCCATTCCTTCTTCCTCCGATTCCCTCGGTTCTCGTCCGCGTCCCCCTCCCCCCGCCCCTCTTCGCGTTTCTTTCCTCCTCCTTCTCCTTCTCCTTTGCGCCGATCGTTTTACCGAGCTCCTTTGCACACCGACTCGACCGTCTTTTTTTTTCCCTTTCTTTTTCCTTTTTTCTCCCTTCGCGCCTTTACACTCGGCTCTTTCTTTTCTTCCTCGCTACGCGTCTCGCGTCTCGCTCTTTCTCCGTGCCTCTCCTTTCTCTCGCGTCTCGCACGGTTATCTCCCTCGCGTTTTTATTTTAGCCCGAAGCAAACGTCGAGGTGGAAACGGAGTGCCGGAGGGAGAAAGGGTAGGAGAAGAGGAAAGGAGAGAGAAGAGTAACGGCAAAAGAGAGAATAAACGCGCGAGAGAAGGAAAAGTAGGAAGGAGGAGGATGCGAAAGACGGGAAAGAGGCGCGGGGCGAGGGAACGGAAGAGACGGTCGTGGCGGAGGCGGTCGCGGGGTGCGGGCAGTCGACTGACGGGGGCGGCGGGGGCGGCGGGGGCGGCCGG